CCTCTGGCGAGCACATGGAGGGCTGTGCGGCCCCCCAAAGAAATGCCTCCCCACACCATGACTGACCCACCGCCAAACCGGTCATGCTGGAGGATATTGCAGGCAGCAGAACGTTCTCCACGGCGTCTCCAGACTCTGTCACGTCTGTCACATGTGCTCAGTGTGAACCTGCTTTCATCTGTGAAGAGCACAGGGCGCCAGTGGCAAATTTGCCAATCTTGGTGTTCTCTGGCAAATGCCAAACGTCCTGCACGGTGTTGGGCTGTAAGCACAACCCCCACCTGTGGACGTCGGGCCCTCATACCACCCTCATGGAGTCTGTTTCTGACCGTTTGAGCAGACACATGCACATTTGTGGCCTGCTGGAGGTCATTTTGCAGGGCTCTGGCAGTGCTCCTCCTGCTCCTCCTTGCACAAAGGTGGAGGGAGCAGTCCTGCTGCTGGCTTGTTGCCCTCCTACGGCCTCCTCCACGTCTCCTGATGTACTGACCTGTCTCCTGGTAGCGCCTCCATGCTCTGGACACTACGCTGACAGACACAGCAAACCTTCTTGCCACAGCTCGCATTGATGTGCCATCCTGGATGAGCTGCACTACCTGAGCCACTTGTGTGGGTTGTAGACTCCGTCTCATGCTACCACTAGAGTGAAAGCCCCGCCAGCATTCAAAAGTGACCAAAACATCAGCCAGGAAGCATAGGAACTGAGAAGTGGTCTGTGGTCACCACCTGCAAAACCAGTCCTTTATTGGGGGTGTCTTGCTAATTGCCTATAATTTCCACCTGTTGTCTATTCCATTTGCACAACAGCATGTGAAATGTATTGTCAATCAGTGTTGCTTCCTAAGTGGACAGTTTGACTTCACAGAAGTGTGATTGACTTGGAGTTACATTGTGTTGTTTAAGTGTTCCGTTAATTTTTTTGAGCAGTGTATTTGATTTAATCAATTTTAGAATAAGACTGTAACGTAACAAAATGTGGAAAAAGTCAAGGGGTTTGAATACTTTCCGAATGCACTGTAACCCGAAACACAACCAAAACAAACTGCAAATGCATCCAAATGCCTTATAGTGTATTCAATTTAGTCAAAAGTTGAATATTTAGTCCTATATTCTTAGCACGCAACAACTACATCAAGCTTGTGACTACAGACTCAATTCAGTTTGCTTCCATATGGCTGGTTTCACATTTGTCTCCAAGGATCATAATGAAAAATAATCTAAAACAATTGCTATGTGTATTTACAATCCCCTTTAATTTACCTAGCTCTTATCAATAGATCTTATGAAGTTGTAAATTACAGTGCATGGAGAATGGTGTTATTTTTAGTGCAAAAAAATGAAGTCGATGCTTTTTCCACATGGAACTGGTAGGTTTGCTAGACCTTATTAATGGTTTCTTTGCGCGTAAAGGTGGTGGAATTACAGTTGGAAGTTGTTTTTCAACTACTCCAAAAATGTCTTGTTAACAAACTATTGTTTTGGCAAGTCGGTTAGGACATCTACTTTGTGCATGACACAAGTAATTTTTCCAACAATTGTTTACAGGCAGATTATTTCACTTATAATTCACTCTATCACAATTCCAGTGGGTCAGAAATGTACATACACTAAGTTGACTGTGCCTTTAAACAGCTTGGAAAATTCCAGAAAATTATGTCATGGCTTTAGAAGCTTCTGATAGGCTAATTGACATCATTTGAGTCAATTGGAGGTGTACTTGTGGATGTATTTCAAGGCCTACCTTCAAACTCAGTGCCTCTTTGCTTGACATCATAGGAAAATCAAAAGAAATCAGCCAAGACCTCAGAAAAAAAATGGTAGACCTCCACTAGTCTGGTTCATCCTTGGGAGCAATTTCCAAACGCCTGAAGGTACCACGTTCATCTGTACAAACAATAGTACGCAAGTATAAACACCATGGGACCACGCAGCCGTCATACCGCTCAGGAAGAAGATCTCCTAGAGATGAACGTACTTTGGTGCGAAAAGTGCAAATCAATCCCAGAACAACAGCAAAGGACCTTGTGAAGATGCTGGAGGAAACAGGTACAAAAGTATCTATATCCACAGTAAAACTAGTCCTATATCGACATAACCTGAAAGGCCGCTCAGCAAGGAAGAAGCCACTGCTCCAAAACCGCCATAAAAAAGACAGACTAAGGGATGCAACTGCACATGGGGACCAAGATCGTACTTTTTGGAGAAATGTCCTCTGGTCTGATGAAACAAAAATAGAACTGTTTGGCCATAATGACCATGTTTGGAGGAAAAGGGGACAGCTTGCAAGCCGAAGAACACCATCCCAACCGTGAAGCACGGGGGTGGCAGCATCATGCTGTGGGGGTGCTTTGCTCCAGGAGGGACTGGTGCACTTCACAAAATAGATGGCATCATGAGGAAGGAAAATTATGTGGATATATTGAAGCAACATCTCAAGACATCAGTCAGGAAGTTAGAGCTTGGACGCAAATGGGTCTTCCAAATGGACAATGACCCCAAGCATACTTCCAAAGTTGTGGCAAAATGGCTTAAGGACAACAAAGTCAAGGTATTGGTGTGGCCAACACAAAGCCCTGACCTCAATCCTATAGAAAATTTGTGGGCAGAACTGAAAAAGTGTGTGCGAGCAAGGAGGCCTACAAACCTGACTCAGTTACACCAGCTCTGTCAGGAGGAATGGGCCAAAATTCACCCAATTTATTGTGGGAAGCTTGTGGAAGGCTACCTGAAACATTTGACCCAAGTTAAACAATGTAAAGGCAATGCTACCAAATACTAATTGAGTGTATGTAAACTTCTGATCCACTGGGAATGTGATGAAAGAAATAAAAGCTGTAATAAATCATTCTCTCTACTATTATTCTGACATTTCACATTCTTAAAAAAAAGTGGTGATCCTTACTGACATAAAACAGGGGATTTTTACTAGGATTAAATGTCAGGAATTGTGAAAGACTTGAGTTTAAATGTATTTGGCTAAGGTGTATGTAAACTTCCGACTTCAACTGTATTAGGGAATTAAGTCAAGGTCAGAATACGGCGTATCTGTAGACACACCTCCGCCACACCTTCATTTATTCGAGCTCCACCTCAAACGAATAGTGGGTTAATAGCATGCTATTCTCATACTTAAATTCAAGGTCAGAATATGCATAGAGAGAAAAGTGTATAGAGAGAAAAGCGCATAAAAAGATAATTACAATTCCATTTACGCACGCTTAACTTGGGTCAGAATCTGGGCCTGAGTGAATATGCTAAAATACTTATGACACCGTCAAATGGGGGGACTAGATACATAAAATGCATTCATTACTAAACGGTAAATCGTATATGTATGGAAACACCTTAAAATAAAATCTGACATTATGTACTGTCGCCTCATATAAAACATTTGTTATCTAATCCAAAATGTTGGAGTATAGAGCCAAGTTAAAAGTTTTAGCTTCACTGTCCAAATACGGTACATTTACAGAGGAGTGTAATTGGATCGGTTTCATTCATACCAACAGGTCTCTGTGGATTTTTCTGTCCATGCATTCAGGACGTTAAGATGGCAGAGAAATACGGAGAGTGTTTCCTACTCTCTCATGTTCCATGGACACATTTTATGTTGTGAACCAGCATTCGGGAGCGGTATAACATAGAGGTATGCATATGGCATGTTGCTGATTGTACAGCTGTATTGTTGAACATTTGCATTACCTGTTTCTCCACTACCCCATGCACACTATTCAGCATTATCTTTGTCCAGCATCAACTCAGTCATATAACAAAGCACTTTGGGACGGTGTCCTGGACTAAGATTAAGCTAAATCCTGGACAAGAAAATGCTATTTCAATGGGAATTCTCCATTGGCCATGCTTTTTAATCCAGGACTAGGTGTAATCTGTGTCCAGTAAATCAACCCTTTGTGTTATCTGCCTCATCCTCACCCTGTCAGGGCCAGGGGTTTAGGGACTGGTCGTTATAGGCCTACTACATAGGAATGTGAGTAGTTGATATCACCTTAGCCACCCTAATAATATGTCGATTTCTATAGGGAACCATTTGCGATGACTGGTGTATGACTGCTTTCTGCGGACCATGTGTTCAATGCCAAATGGTTCGTGAAGTCAATAAGGAGATTCCTAACTAACAGAGCCGGAAAGTGAATGTTGACCCCCGCAGTGTTGTCTCCCGCACCTTGTTATGAAAATGTTAATTAAATTGTTGCAGTGAGGACCCTCAAGTTTTTGTACAAGAAACGTATTATGGTTACATTAGGACTGCTGTCATCTGAAGACTATTTCCTGCAAGTCAACAAATGTTTTATGTTCCTATGACTCTACAGCACTATGTGAGCACAACCCTTTATCCAAATCCTCAGCAGTATGGAAAAAACAAGACACAGTACCATGTGACTCTCAGACGTATACAATGTGTAACATAACTTACAGTATGTTTCTATTTATGATAACAGTCTGTTATTACCAGATTATGGCTCATTTAAATGTATTCAACTACTAGTTGTTTATATAAAAATGAAAAGAAATGTGAAATAAGTACTATACACAAGAATAGTTCAGAAAGTTTCTTAAAGTCTTGTTTTTTTTACTTTTTGGATTATGTGTGTATTGTTATTGTTATTTTATTGCTAGATATTACTGCACTGTTGGAGCTAGAAACTTAAGCATTTCGCTGCACCTGCAATAACATCTTTAGTTCTGTATACGCAACCAATAAACTTTGATTTGATTTGAAAGTCGGTCTTTGACCTAACCTACAAGCACTGAGTTCAATCAAAATACTAACAAAGTTACAAAATATCCAGTTAACCACAAGTCATTCCTGTGGCAGTAGGACTTTTGGACCATATCAAATCAAATCAAATGTTATTTGTCACATGCTTCGTAAACAACAGGTGTAGACTAACACTGAAATGCTTACTTTACAATGCAGAGAGAAAAAAACATAAAAAAAGATTTGAAAAAGAATAAGAGGAATAAATGCACAATGAGCAACGATAACTTGGCTATATACACGGTGTACCAGTACTGAGTCGATGTACTTGTATTTGGTGGTGTATAGTATAGGTGGTGTATTATATTTGGTGGTGTTTTTAGATCAACTTGTCCTGGACTGGGTTTTCGTTCATTTAATTTCAATGGAATTAAGATGATCTTAGTGCTACAATGCTTTTGGGAAACCCAGCCCAGGTGCTTTTTATTGTCAGTGTACTGCTGAGGTTTCAGGGCACGGCTAGTGACGTTAAAGCCTATGATGTGGATGCACAGATGCGTTTAGAAAGTCAATTTGTTTTAATTTCTCCACAGTCTAACTGCCTGCAATGTCAAGAAAACGCTGTCGGTAAATTTTCAGCTGTTCACTCCTCATCCCAAGGGAATTTAATGTTTGTTCCATTCATTTCCTCTTTTAGGACCGCTGTGAATTTGGCATCCTGCTCAGGACTGAAGTGGTTTTTCCAGTCCCCAGCAACCCCTGAAAGAACAAGGAGAATGTGCTTTAATTGAACAGTGAAATACATGGAAGCAAAGAGCGGTTGCAGTAGTGTATCACTGCATGATGAGAGAACATTACACTACTAGCAGCATTCTGGGTTCCTATCCCACTGCAGGGAGTGATTATACCCTGTCTTGCCAGTTTCCACTACCTTTTCTAAGGAAGGGGGACTTGCTGCTATCCATGATCTCCTGTGGCACCAGGGAGTAGTTTGACATTGCGTTTGTCTTCATGTTGCTGAAACAGCAGTGGTTGGCTACACGGTCCAGAGTTTCTTCACTTAGGTCCCGACCAAGGAACCGTGAGAGGCGCTCCAGCACTCCCCGCAGGTCCTTCAGGAGAGAAACAAACATATGTTATCAGTTTGGCCTGGGGTTAGCCAAAGATTTAGCCTAGTTCACTATCCATTAGTCTGGTCAAGCAGCTCTGGGCTGAGGCGGTTTGCATTGATTGGTGTTTTACCTTGACCATTTCTTCATAGGTAATGTATAGGATTCTATCTCCCAGATCTGAATTTCGCCAGCTTTTTACATGGTCTGTCCACTTCCCAAACAACACTGTGTAGATAAACAAATGTTAATTGCAATCAAACCCAGTTACCCTCTTCTTTTAGTATGGACATATGGCATCAAATGGACCCTCCCCTTTATTTATATTTCCTAGCATTTTTCACCTTGCCCAGAGAGAAATTTGTTTAGAAACTCAGCAAAAGTCCCAGGGTCATCCAGGAAACTGGCCATCTTGTGGAAGTGAAACGATGACACCATAACATCTTTTGGGTTCCGGGTAACATAGATGACCTAAATGAAAACAATTAAGATTAATTAAGATCGAGTCTTAATTATGAGTTCCATAGACAGACTTACAAGTGTGATAGATAAATTATAAGATAATTACATTGCATGTAGGCACATTTTTCCAATTGTTTCATTAATTTGCAATGCTGAAGTCAGTCCATTAAACGTGCTGCAAGAGTCTCTTCAGTTGTTACTGTCTAGTTGCTCTCAGTTCCTGGATCAGGGCCCTACCTTGGCTTTGGAGGGGAAAAATGAGGGAGGCATGAGATGGTAGGGCATATGAGAGACCATTGCCCGTGGTGAGGGCAGACGGTCCAGAACTAGGGCTGCTCTTGTCTCCTCCAGCCAGGGAACCCGGTCCCAGTTGGGAATAGTTTGCACTGGAGTCAGGTCTCCTCCATTTAGGACTAAAGGGAGAATCTCTTGCATCCATGTGGTGCCTGGGAAACATTACCTTAATCAGTTATCTGTATTATTTTTCATTTATTTTTTTAGCTTATGCTATTTCACAAAATAAAATGAGATGATGTTTTGTCATTATTGTGTCATTCATTATTGTGTCAAATTCTCTAGATGTCAGTGATGTCACACAACTGCATGTTTCTCGATTCTTCACTAGTTGGGACTTGCCTGGTCCAAGATCTGTTTGTGCTCTTGCCAACTCATTGCTCAATGTAAAGCTAAACGTGTTTGGCATGATATCATAAGCAGACTGGCAATCAGGCTTTTGGGACAGCTGATCTGTCTAGGTTCTGAAACAAGAAACCTTTGTGTTGCGCAATCAGTGCTGCTGAACTAGAAAATCCATGGAAAGGTGGAAAGTCGGCTACTGCTACTAGGTTACACACCACCAAGATCTGGTCTGAAGTAAGTTCTACTATAGTAATAAAAAACACATTAAAATTTATTTTTTGTCCGACACTGAGCCGCTCATAACTTTTTGAGATGCAATGCCTGGGCGACTAAACTGCATTGGTGTAAACTACTTAAGTAAAAATACTTTAAAGTACTACTTAAGTAGTTTTTTTGGGGGTATCTGTACTTTACTAATTCTATTTTTTACAACTTTTACTTCACTACATTCCTAAAGAAAATATTGTACTTTTTACTCCATACATTTTCTCTGACAACCAAAAGTACTTCCAACATTTCGAATGCTTAGCAGGACAGGACAATTGTGAAATTCATTCACTCATCAAGAGAACACGTGGCATCCCTACTGCCTCTGGTCTGGCTGACTCACTAAAAAACAAATGCATCTTTTGTAAATAATGTCTGAGTGTTGGAGTGTGCCCCTGGCTATCCTTACATTTTTAAAACAATAAAATGGTGCCGTCTGATTTGCTTACTATAAGGAATTTGGAATGATTTCTACTTTTACTTTCGATACTTAAGTATATTTTTGCAATTACATTTACTTTTGATACTTAAGTATATTTAAAACCAAATACTTTTACTCAAGTAGTTTTGTACTAGGTGACTTTCACTTTTACTTGAGTAACTCTCTATTAAAGTATCTATAATTTTACTCAAGTATGACAATTGGGTACTTTTTCCACCACTACTAAACTGTAAATGACATGAAGCCAAACCAATTCTTAGCCTATCATTATTTAAATACAGTCAACTACTATAGTACAGTATGTTCTTACCAGACTTTGGGTAGGTCACTGTGAAAATATATTCGTCTTCAACTTTCATTTCCTCCGCGTATTTAAAACTTTCAAAAGAGTGAGTTTCTTTCGGACACAAAAGTCCGTGATAAACGATATATTTTCCATCATTCGCCATACTTAAACACAGTTTACAGAGTTAAAGTATGCTACCTTTCGTCGAAAAACAACGTCAGTGCGTCTGTAAAGTGGAGGGGAAGTGCATTATTTTTTGTGCAATTTGTGCGCGGTTGCCAAAAAATTATAATAATTCACTCAGCAGATAGCGGCATAATTCAATGACAATAATGCACTAATAATAATAATTCATAATAATTAAACTAAGAATTGCTCATACGAATACTACTACTAATAATACAATAATACACTTTTTGAATAGATAGATTTGGACCCATCCAAAGACGCAGTTACAACACCAAAATTGGTTAAGTTATGTCAGGTTTGAAAATCCTGTCAAGCTGTTCATCCCTGAATTTGAAAAAGGTGCCTAAAAGCTTGCAGATCACACTGAGATATTGAAATCTATTGCATCAATTACCTGATTTGGGGTAAGTAATGGAAAACACATCCCTGTCCTGAACTTTGAAATCGTTGGCATATTTCAGACTCTCCTCATTGTGAACCACAGTTGGTAACAAAAGTCCATGGTGAAGAAAGTACCTGTCTGATGCCATGGCACAACTAGAACACACTCAGGTATAGCCTGCAGTAAAGTTCTGCCAGTTCAGCCCTGACCTAGAAGCATGTGTTTAATGCATCAATGCAAATGTGAGAGCGGAAACTATCCCTCCCTCTCTTGTAGCCATTTCTTGCAATGGGGCCTATGTCAAGGCCAGAATCTGCCAGAGGAGGGCTTGAGATGGGATGGATGGAGCAGTAAACCCAATACAAGAAAGGAAGGAGGAGTTTTTGTAAACCTTTTCACTGTCTCAATCTATTCCCCACAGCCATAGAGTATGCAAACAATGAGACATCCCACCTAATGTTGCAACCATTACAAATAGGTCTACCTTGCCATTGAATAACAAGGAGAAGCACAGCACTCTCCATAGTATTTGAAATACCTTTATTGCTATGGGATGATCAGTTGAACAGCTTAAAAAAGTGTGATGTGTTTGGGCATGGCCTTCTACCATGTTGCAGGAGGAGCTACCATTTGGCTGTCCAGAAGACTGAGTTCACCTCACCCCTGTTCCTTCACTTCCTTGCATTCACTGAGATATGGTAACATTTCACACGATAATGTTATTACGCATGAATTGAACAACTCTTGTACTGTGATGTAATGCACATTTGATACAGCCAGGCCTAACTCAAACTGACTGGCAGATAGGTCAGTCATTGTGACAAGGACTTACTCAATGGAGCCTTTGTCCAGGGCAGAACTGTAAGTCTGGGGCAGAACCCCAGAGAGGGGGCCTGAGATGGGATATGGCCCTGTGTTTGCCATCCTGTAATTTAGGCTGCATTTAGACAGGCAGCCCAATTCTGATAATTTCCACTAATTGGCCATTTGACCAATCAGATCCTCTGAAAAAGATCTGATCTCTAGAGCAGAGTTGAGATGCCACATACCATGACATTCAAATCTGTTGCATGAATTTCCTTGATAACGATATGTAATGGCGTGTAATGGCTTCCTATTTCCATACATTTACAGGATTGACCAAGTGCCTCTTGGCTGAAAAACATGCTACATTACATGAGTGTAATGCCGGATTAACAAAGTTCTGGTTTAGCAGGGGCCTGTTTAGAAGGGTGTAGTGTACCTTACAAAATAATCCTACAGGAATCCTGTAGGACTTTTAGTTAGGGGTTAGAGAATGTTCAGATAGAAATGTGTTGTGTAAAACAGAAATGATTGAGTCAGGTAGAATGAAATCGTGTTAGCTCAGTTTCTTACATTTATATATGAATGTTTTTCTTCACTGAATACACCCCAAGTCCCCGGTCACCATAGTGGAGCTCCGACCATCACAAAGCATGAGACCTTTTTGAAGTGGGGGAGAAAAACAGGTTTCTATACAGACTAGACTGGTCAACAGGTTTCTATACAGACTAGACTGGTCAACAGGTTTCTTTACAGACTAGACTGGTCAACAGGTTTATATACAGACTAGACTGGTCATTGTAAGGCTAACTACAAGGGGAACAAATCTATTATCTTAGAAGTGGCATTCTGGTGGTAGGTGTGGAGCGCCGATACTTCCGATTGGAAAGGCAACATGAGTGGGAATCTGGACACAATGAGTACTCATCATTCAAGGACAAGTCCACTACTGTGCAGACACCAAGTCGCCATGGAAACCAGCAAAACTGGGCCCACAGTACATAATGGGGTTTGTAGTAATAGTATGCGTGTAAGTCAGCTGTGAAGTTAATTTGATTATCTTCTCCCTAAAACACCACACCATACATAGAGCTCTCATATGAGGAGCCTGAACTACACCTCAAAGTTGAGTACAAATTTGACCTCTATCTCCTGCCTTTTGTAGAAATACTATACAAAATCTAATTAAAACATTGTCTATCTTGTGTAATAAGCACACTGTGCACAATCAAAAGTAGCATATTAAGTCATTTATTGTCCATTCACTCACACCTCACTAAGAAAATGTCCATAGAGTAGGATAACCCACTGCTACCATGTTTTATGTAATCTTACGACAACATAAATAAGCCATTACGCTGCTTCAGTCATGTGACAAAGTGCACCAACATTTGTACTTCATCATGTCGAATGAGATTAAGTTAATCTCTTTCATACCTGCAGTAATGCAGCTGAGCACACACAGAGTAACAAAAGTATTGTACCATCAGCTTCCATGTCAAAGTAGTTTAGTAACTGTACTACAGCGCTTAAGAGGCATCCACTTGTTATAAATACTCAATCTACCGTACTAATTACAGCACAATAATAAATCGTACATAAAAAAAAGTATCATAACATTAAAAAAAGTATAAAATCATGAATGCTCATATTACTGCCGTCTTTCTGAGAGATACAAAATCCATCTGTACAGGCGCAGTCTGGTAGAAAGGCCCTGTGTGTGTGTGTTAAAGAACCTCTTTGTTTGAGGTCCCAGCCGGTCTCAGTTGCTGTGCACCAGTGTGACGAAGAGGAAGAGGGAACAGAGGGAGATGGATCCAGTGAGCACCGCCTTCACCAGGAGGGCTGTCCAGCTCCCCAGCAGGAACACATGGACAAACAACCTGAGAGAAGTTAGAGGAAATAAGTAGGTGTCTATGAACAATTATTATGACGGTTGTGTAGCTTTGTTTTATACCAATATGTCAGTTGTTGGCTACTATGTAACTGATTGTTGCTAACGTCATATTATTATGATGGATTATGACATGAACTTGGAGGCGTCATTGTTTTCAGTACCATTTCAATAATGTCGTTTCTTTCCGAAAAATAGGGGTTGGTCATCCCGACCGTTACACAACTGTAGCCATCAGTGTTTATAATGCTCTCTAGTGGTGTACAGAAAAACCTCAGTCCCCTCCCCAGAAAAGATAAGCACGATGAGCTCAAAACCAGTGCTGTGAGGGTGACAATTTCTTCAGTATGCAGTTCCACAGTTCCCTTCCCTGGGTACGTTGAAGTATGTGATACTCACTCCATGAGGAAGGCCTTGTATACACACAGCCCAAGGAGTACAGTCACAGGCAGACGGAAGCTCTTCGGGAGGTCGTACCGCGTGAACATCCACACCACTGCTGCCATGGCGATATAGTGCACCTGAAATAGCAGACATGACACCGAATTTCCTTAAAAACTAGACCTCTTCCAAGCCCTCCACCGGAAATGTTATATTGATGAGTATTCATTATCTAAGTATTACCAGGCTGATGTTGGAGTCGAAGCTCATCTGTATGTACTTCCAGTCAAACTCAATGCCTCTGGCACCCACCCATAGAGGTATACACCTGGATGACAGGGCAAGAGGATTAAATACAAGAGACACCATTGCAATTAAACAAACTGCCAACTATACTACTGAGCTTGGGCAGTGAACGACTAATCTTCGCAGACCTTGGCAGAAATGAATGTGAATCTGGAATGCACCCAATGAGAGAGAAAGAGAAACAGCAGGGGGACAGAGAAAGATAGAGAAAGAGAACGTACCTTGACATAACAAGCTCTGCTGTGGCCCATCCCATCGCTGCCACCATGATCTTGTACTCTCCCTTCCCAGCGTTCCTGGACATGACCAGATGCAGGCCCAGAAGGTCAGCTAGGTCCACCGTGGCCTTCATAAACTCACCAACAAAGTCGTACACGCCAGCTCCTCCCTCCCATGTGGGGAAAAATGTGGCAAGAAACAGCATCTGGAACAGAGATATTGTTAATGCAGTAACAAAAAAAATTTTTTTGTATTGTCACATACACCGGATAGGTGCAGTGAAACGTGTTGTTTTACAGGGTCAGCCATAGTAGTACGTCGCCCCTGGAGCAAATTAGGGGTAAGTGTCTTGCTCAAGGGCAAATCAACCGAATTTTCACTTTGTCGGCTGAGTATTCAAACCAGCGACCTTTCGGTTACTAACCGCTAGGCTACCTGCCGCCCTAGTAGGACACATTAACTAGTAGGCTACATATTAGTAATCAAAGCAGTGTTTAGTCTGCATCCCAATGTGATCATCAGTTCTTTCAACAGAATGATGATACTTTTATTGTTTTTCAGAAAACAGACAGTTTGGTCGTCAATGCTCACCTTGCATAGCTGCACAAATAGGTAGGTAGCTCCTGCTTGAACACATCTCCAGAATGCATTGTATTCTGATCTATAATAGGGATAGAGAGAGACATTGTTCAAAACATTCTAGTATACAGACACATGGTTGCCTATAGTGGCGGATGATTGGCTGACCTCCTCCCAATCTGCAGACATTTCCAAGTAGATTAACATTTCACCCTCTAAAATAAGGGTGGCTAGCAAGTGAACAGATCATAAAAACGACATGTTCAGTAGCTAAATGTATGGGGTCAATAACAAAGTAATCTAATGCAGTTTATATAGCTGGAAAGAACAACCATGAAGACAGAGGTTTACGTATCAGAGGTGCTGATACTTACAATCCACTGCACTTGTAGGTGATAAAGTAGGGAAAATAAGCCAAGGCAATGCAATTCCCGAAATGAAAGAGCGTCATATTGCCAGGGAGTCCAACACTGGCGAATCCTCCAACGACTCTTTGAATGAATGAAGACAAGATAGCTATTAGCTAGCAACATTTATTGACACAACATTAGCTAGCTAGTTATTTCAGATTGAGGAAGCATTGTAGCAGTCAATCTGACAGTAGCGTTACTTGCTAGCATCTTCTCCTCCTGCACGCTCAACGGGCTGATTATGTGCAAGGTCTAACATATTTCTTCCACTCGTATTGTACAATTGAAATCTGTTAGATAAATGAAATGCGTAGAAATAACACAGGTCTAAATGAAGACCGGCAAGAACCATTCACAAATACGTGTACTTACTCAGATTGAACGAGGGATTATTGAGATGCTAATGCTAGTTTGCTAACTCGTTGGATGAAGGACGGAAACTAGTTTTCCACTAGTTACCACAGCCACAAAGTCAAAATGGCTATATCGTAGAAAATTCATAAAAACATAAATGTGCCTTTTTGTCTTATTTTAAGGTTAGGGTTAGACATAAGGTTAGCGGTGTGGTTAGGTTTAAAAACAGATTTTTAGAAGATAAATTGTAGAAATAGGCGGGGTTTATGACTTTGTGCGTGTGGTAACTAATGACGACCCGGAAACTACCAGTCCTACCTTTAAATGATTCCGGTTACCCTTGAAGTCTCCGTCCTATATTTCCGCTCGTTTGCTTAGCGCCTTAGTTTAGTTATTCAAAGAGGGTCTTGTAAAGCAAATGGACGGAACAACAGAACGGAGTCATCATGGGTAACCGGAATAATTTCAAGTCAAGTTTCTGCAAAGATTGTTTAGTATGAAAAGGTTTTAAAAACTTCGGTGGTTTATTCTCTTCATGCATCGTCTTTCACATGAAAAATACAACTAATGACAATTTATAGGCCTAAGGATATTTGCAGTACTATAGCTAGCCTAAACAGCCGCTAGTGGGCGCTATTCTCCACTGACAAACGACGTGAGGAATAATAGCGCCATCTAGCGGCAGCAGGGCTACATAGTAGTCAAATCTCATTGAGTTAAAGGCAGTGCAGTGCAGGCAAAAACGTGATTTTCTAGCATTTTAAACACATTTCCAAACTATGAGCTTGGAATAGTACGGTGAAATTTGGAAAATTATTGTAGTGCCCTTTTAGTGTAAGAGCTGTTTGAAAAGACTGCCTGAAATTTCAGCCTGTTTTGGTGGGATGGAGTTTTGGCCTGCTGTTCGCTAAGAAGCAATTTTGGTTTCTTTTCGGTCATTTTAATTGAACACAATCACAGTAAGGTACTTAATTGTTACCCAGAAATGATTTGATATTGAGATATAAACGGCTACATTGGACCTTTAAAGAACATTATGGTCATTCAGGCATCCACAATGTGCAGTAGTCTAGGCTATAGTCTAATAAATATAAAAATGTACAACCAGCTATAATGACATTCCAAAATAATGGGTGTTGTGGCGTTTCATGTGAACAGCGTTGAATGCAGAAAATATACCATCTGTCATTTGGTTTACCTTATTGTGTTACAATATTTGCCACTAGATGTGTCCTGGGATTCCCGTTAGGCCAGGGTTTAAATCAATTGCAATAGTGGACTTCCAGATAGCTTTCAGAATGCATTTGGATGTCCTTGATGGAGAATTGGGACTTGATTGAGAAACCGTCAGTCCCATGGCCTTACACCCGTTCAATTCTGGTAGCAAACCTGGCTGAGAAGTCATCCAGTGCAATGTGCCCAACCAGATCGACAAATTGTATATCAATCATGTTTGAATCCTGGTCCTAGGTACCAACATGGTATGCAGACTTTTCTTCCAGCATAGTATTAAAACTGTGGCCCTGGCTAAAGCATCAGCTATTAGAACTGAGGTTTAGGTAATAACATTTGTTTCAATATCATTTTCACTAAACTGTGATGTTCAAAAAATGCAAATGTGCATATAAAATAAGTATAATCCTGTCATTAATGTAACAAACACATTATCATACAATTGTCACTTTATAATGCACCATCTTCATGTTCTGCATCCTATTGATTATCCTGAATGCAGATGACCACTTATTTGTCATTGTGTGAAAACATGTTCTTATAACACTGGGCAAACAGGAAACATGATCAACAACAAGGCAAGACAGAGACATTCTTAAAGATTTTCCAGATTTATTACTTTTTTAGTTACAATAGCTTGTCTTTCTCACTTGACTCTTAAACTATAATTCTTTAACACCAATATTACATGGTAACAGCCAGTATGGAAACAACTACGGCAATGCTCTGGGCAGACACAGAAACAAATACTGTCAAGTCAAAACCGTCTCAAAGTGGGACTTTTTCATAAAGGAAAAAACAAATACTCGTACACACAGCCTACGACAGAGACTAACTTGTCTTGTAGAGAGTGATGGAGGGCTGGGGGTGCTAGGGTGTGACACTGTGGCTTGGTTATGGAGGGTGTGAGTGCATGTAAAAGAGGGGGGTGGTCCCATTCCAGCTTTCTGGAGAGTTACTCCTTGGAATGCATGTACAGCAACAGGTCGGCGACGCGGTGGCTGTAGCCAAACTCATTGTCATACCTGGAGAAACAGACAGAGATGGGGTCATAGTTTAGTTGAGGGCTGAGAATAACCAAAAAGAAGTCCACCATTAGCAGAGGAGGAACCATAGAATTAGAATGAAGAATTATTGAATATTTACTCTAAGGGAGGAACTTACCAGGAAATGAGTTTGACGAAGTTGTCATTGAGGGAAATGCCAGCGCCAGCATCAAAGATGGAGGAGTGGGTGTCTCCAATGAAGTCAGAAGACACAACCTGGTGGGACAGGAAACATGAGCACTGAGAAACCCACCAACATAACACCTGCAGTATACAGAGATCTATGTAATCTAGGAGCCCTGCTTTTTAACTACAACTTGCTAATAACACATAATACAATTGGCAGTTAAACTGAGCTCTATTGCCACTGCTGCTCATCATTCATGTTGACACATACATATTTTGTAATGAACTTACAGAGTCCTCAGTGTATCCCAGGTATCCCTTCATGGGTCCTTCGGCGGCCTTCTTGACAGCCTCCTTGATCTCAGCGTAGCTGCCGGGCCGGGACAGGCGGCAGGTCAGGTCCACCACCGACACATCAGCCACGGGCACACGGAAGGCCATGCCAGTCAGCTTGCTGACAGAGGAGAGGGAGAGAGGGAGAGAGAGAGAGAGAGCTCACATCCGCATTTATATAAGCAGCCTGTTTCATCAAGCACACATCTGCATTCAGCATCTTTGATAAGTAGTAGGCACAATCACATAAATGTATGCAAAACACACCCACCATATGAGGCTGCTGAGGGGAGGACGGCTCATAATAATGGCTGGAATGGAGTCAATGGAATGGTATCAACCACATGGAAACCATGTGTTTGATGTCATTCCATTCATTCCAACCAGCCTCCTGTGACACACACACTCCATGTACTGACCCGTTGAGCTCAGGGATGACCTTGCCCACAGCCTTGGCAGCTCCGGTGGAGGCAGGGATGATGTTCTGGTGGGCACCACGGCCATCGCGCCATGCCTTGGCAGAGGGGCCGTCCACCGTCTTCTGGGTGGCGGTGTAGGCGTGGACTGTGGTCTTGAGAGGACGACCAGAGCGAAAGAGAGAAGAGAAAAGAAGGGAAAGATTAGCATGGGTTCCATAGTGTCAGTGGATGTGTCAATATGGATCATAGGACAAGAAGACATGCAGATGCTCCCTGCATGCTGGTCATGAAGATGCATGGACAGACAGTCTAAGAAGGACACTTACCATGAGGGCCTCCTCAATGCCGAAGTTGTCATGGATGACCTTAGCCAGGGGGGCAAGGCAGTTGGTGGTGCAAGATGCATTGCTGTGGATGACCAGAGAGAATTACAATAGGTCACCAATTCAGTTTAATCAATTATTCTAGCGTTAATAAAGTTGGACTATTCTTGAATATTGTTGTGAAGAGTTTGCCCTTTGATCAGGCAGGTATTGGTAAGGAATAAAGGGACTCACCTGACGATGGTCATGCTGGAGGGGTCGTACTTGTCCTCGTTGACTCCCATGACGAACATGGGGGCGTCGGGGGAGGGGGCAGACACAACCACCCGCTTGGCACCACCCTGGATGTGGGACTGTGGAAACAGAAAAGAAAACACATTAAGAAAGTCTCAAATCTTGCATGCACATGTAATACATCATATTGAATGCTTGTGTCTGGATCTGAGTGACATGTCCTAATACACCTGAGAACTGTTGATTGACTATGTTGATAAAGTCTTTTGAGTTTCATAGGTTTATTTTGACAAAGTACATTAGGGTTACTTATTTGGCTGCTGCAAGGCCTTGGTGAGATCTATAGTTATCAGTGCTTGAGGGGGGACAAGAGTGTCAGTGTTGTCTGTCTGTCTGTCTGTCTGTCTGTACTGCTACTTACAGAGGCCTTGTCAATGCTGAGGAAGACTCCAGTGGACTCAACGACGTAATCGGCACCAGCTTTACCCCATGGGATCTCATGGGGCTTCATACTAATGGAGAGAGAAGGGGAAGAGTTTTAATTTCACTGCATGAAAAAAAAACTGCATGCGAAAGTGATAGATAATCAAACATCACTATTTTCCTCTCATGACCAAATACCCATCATGTCTATCTCTCTCTTCTGCCTCCCTCCTTAAAGGAAAAATTCACCCATTTTGATTGTTATATCGTATTTGTGCATCTGAGCGATGTTCTATCGATTCCCTTGCTTTCATTCGATGCAACACGATACTGGATTTATTTCTGCCTGCTTGAACGGCAATAGCTCAGATACACATGAAAACATGAAATTACCCTGGGATCAATAAAACATAGCTCAGCGATGTAAAAATACGATATACAGATGTAGGATCTTAATTTGATCACTTTTGTTGATGAGAATTATCCTGCACAGCAGGAAATGTAAACTTGCAGTCTATTCAAGGTTTAAAAAGGCTTCTAAAGTTTGTAATTTCCACTTCAACATTTCAGACTTGATTTGCCCTAACGTAAAATGTATCAACCCCTACAAAAGATGTCTATTAATTAAAATTCACATTTCCTGTTGCTGCAGGATTATTTTCCTGCTGTAGCAAACTGGCTCAAATTAAGATCCTACAGCAGTAACATTCAAAATGGGTGAATATTTCCTTTAAGCCTCATTGTTATCACTGTGAGCTGGGCCTTGCAGACAGGTGGCGTGGCGCCAGCCCTCAAAAGGCCTATAGCAACACTGAGGAGATAATGGCCAGAGGGATTACAGACCACTGAGGTAATACTCTATGAGCCAGGGAGAAAGAGGCATACACATGCTCAATCCCAAATCAACCTAGCCCCATAGAATGGAGCTTCACTCAGACATACAGAAATGCCATTCCAGTGGCCCTCGCACACACACGCAAGCGCGCATGAGCACACGTGATGATGTCATCACTCACCACTGGAATACGGAGATGGAGTGGTCGTCCACAATCAACTTCCCGTCCTCCATGCTCACCTCACCCTTGTAACGGCCGTGGGTGGAGTCATACTTGAACATGTAAACCTGTGGAGAAAGAGAATGTTAGAGAAAAACAAAGGTGACATTGCAAGGTTATCAGTTCATTACACATAACAGGGTAGTTGGTGTGTTATTACAGTAAATAGTACCACGTAAGCACACAGGTAGTGTGGTCTGGCCTCCTCTGCTTAATATGGCAGGGTGACATTTTATATGAAGGCTGTTGATTGAGGGACTGTGAAAGAGACTCAGCTCACCATGTACTGCAGGTCAATGAAGGGATCGTTGATGGCAACAACTTTGATTCCCTTCTGCAGGCAGGCCCTGAGGACCAGGCGGCCGATACGGCCAAATCTGGACAGAGAGAGGGAAAGGGTGGATTCAGTACCCAGACACAGGGCGACATGGGATTGCTCCCCTAAAAACATTCTAAAATTCCCTCGTCCGGCCTCTGTGTATTGGGACTGTTGTGAAAAATTCCAGATGATGCTAAATCAACATGTTTGAGTTAGGATTTACACGTCATGTGGATGTGTGACTGAAGAAATGTGTGTACTTGACCGTGTGACTCTGTGTTGTACGCGTGTTTGTGTGCTTTCCTTGGGGTGCTAATTTACAGTGTAATCCTCATTATCTGTTAACAGTGCTGTCCTCCTCTTCCCATCTAACACTGACTCCCCTCAACACCACACCTTCTGGGGCCGGTTGCACCAGTTGGCCGTAAGTGGGTCGTAACTCTACATCCGACGTAAAAAGTCAGCCCTTCTATGAGCTATGCCTGGGCGTAGATTCAAAGCCTAGTAGGGAGCAGGCCTATGGTGTAAAATTGGGACGATCTTCTTTCATGATATGCACAGAAAATAATAGCAATCTATATTTTCAAAAGGATGTGAGTGTCGTGTTCATATTACACAGCCTCTGTGGGCTTTCCGAGTTGCCTATGCGCCTATGCGTCAATAATACACTTGATTTATGCTACATACCATGCTAAATGTGTCTGATCAGATATTAGCAAACGAATAGATGAGCTGCCACCTCCACTTATTTGCCCAACCAGAGATCAAATAACCAAATACTGTATACAACGGAGATTCTGTGAAACAAAATCACATTGATTGATTATCAGACAAGTCAAAGGCTTCTGGGTGATCTGAGAAGTCAGTCCCGTGTAGCTCAGTTGGTAGAGCATGGTGTTTGCAACGCCAGGGTTGTGGGTTCGATTCCCACGGGGGGCCAGTATGAAAATGTATGCACTCACTAAGTCGCTCTGGATAAGAGCGTCTACTAAATGACTAAAATGTAATAATAATACTTTTACAATTTGTAGAAACAATGAGAATAGAAGGGTCACAGTACAGTTGAAAAATATATGGCAAATAGAAATCCAATATGGATGGTGTTAAGAGATAGATGGGAGGTGTTGAATGGAGCTGAAGGATGGGACTATAACAACTAACAACAACAAGATAACTAATGTAAAGCATACTGTGTTCATAATAAGTCTATACGTTATAGGTTGAGAGCTTTTGTGAAAGAGCACAGTTAGAAAGATATGGCATATAGAAGCAAACCGGATGGACATCATTAAAATGATCGGAGAGGTTGAGGGTAGAGGAAGTTCAGGAGTAAAAACAAACTAAATTGAATTATTGTAAAATTGACTGTGTCCATGAAATGTACAGACGTGGTCAAAAGTTTTGAGAATGACACAAATACTAATTTTCACAAAGTGCTGCCTCAGTTTTGATGATGGCAATTTGCATATACTCCAGAATGTCATGAAGAGTGATCAGATGAATTGCAATTAATTGCAAAGTCCCTCTTTGCCATGAAAATGAACTTAATCCCCAAAAAACATTTCCACTGCATTTCAGCCCTGCAACAAAAGGACCAGCTGCCATCATGTCAGTGATTCTCCCGTTAACACAGGTGAGAGTGTTGACGAGGACAAGGCTGGAGATCCCTCTGTCATGCTGATTGAGTTAGAATAACAGACTGGAAGCTTTAAAAGGAGGGCGGTGCTTGTAATCATTGTTCTTCCTCTGTTAACCATGGTTACCTGCAAGGAAACACGTGCCGTCATCATTGCTTTGGACAAAAAGGGCTTCACAGGCAAGGATATTGCTGCTAGTAAGATTGAACCTAAATCAACCATTTATTGGATCATCAAGAAATTCAAGGAGAGAGGTTCAATTGTTGTGAAGAAGGCTTCAGGGCGCCCAAGAAAGTCCAGCAAGCGCCCGGACCATCTCCTAAAGTTGATTCAGCTGCGGGATCGGGGCACCACCAGTGCAGAGCTTGCTCAGAAATGGCAGCAGACAGGTGTGAGTGCATCTGCACGCACAGTGAGGCGAAGACTTTTGGAGGATGGCCTGGTGTCAAGAAGGGCAGCGAGGCAGCCACTTCTCTCCAGGAAAAACATCAGGGACAGACTGATATTCTGCAAAAGGTACAAGGATTGGACTGCTGAGGACTGGGGTAAAGTCATTTTCTCTGATGAATCCCCTTTCCGATTGTTTGGGGCATCCGGAAAACACCTTGTCCAGAGAAGACAAGGTGAGCGCTACCATCAGTCCTGTGTCATGCCAACAGTAAAGCATCCTAAGACCATTCATGTGTGGGGTTGCTTCTCAGCCAAGGAAGTGGGCTCACTCACAATTTTGCCTAAGAACACAGCCATGAATAAAGAATGGTACCAACACATCCTCGGAGAGCAACTTCTCCCAACCATCCAAGAACAGTTTGGTGACGACCAATGCCTTTTCCAGCATGATGGAGCACCTTGCCATAAGGCAAAAGTGATAACTAAGTGGTTCAGGGAACAAAACATCGACATTTTGGGTCCATGGCCAGGAAACTCCCCAGACCTTAATCCCATTGAGAACTTGTGGTCGATCCTCAAGAGGCGGGTGACAAACAAAAACCCACAAATTCGGACAAACTCCAAGCATTGATTATGCAAGAATGGGCTGCCATCAGTCAGGATGTGGCCCAGAAGTTAATTGACAGCATGCCAGGGTGGATTGCAGAGGTCTTGAAAAAGAAGGGTCAACACTGCAAATATTGACTCTTTGCATAAACTTAATGTAATTGTCAAAAAAGCCTGACACTTATGGAATGCTTGTAATTATACTTCAGTATACCATAGTAACATCTGACAAAGATATCTCATAACACTGAAGCAGCGAACTTTGTTATGACCAATACTTGTGTCATTCTCAAAACTTTTTACCACGACTGTATATAGTATGTATAAACTGGAAGTAGAGGCCTAAGCGGGAAGGGGTTGGAAACTAATAAAGGGAAATATATTTTTTTTAAAGGATATGTATGTATATATATGTATGTGTGTATATATACAGTGGGGAGAACAAGTATTTGATACACTGCCGATTTTGCAGGTTCTCCTACTTACAAAGCATGTAGAGGTCTGTAATTTTTATCATAGGTACACTTCAACTGTGAGAGACGGAATCTAAAACAAAAATCCAGAAAATCACATTGTATGATTTTTAAGTAATTAATTTGCATTTTATTGCATGACATAAGTATTTGATACATCAGAAAAGCAGAACTTAATATTTGGTACAGAAACCTTTGTTTGCAATTACAGAGATCATACGTTTCCTGTAGGTCTTGACCAGGTTTGCACACACTGCAGCAGGGATTTTGGCCCCACTCCTCCATACAGACCTTCTCCAGATCCTTCAGGTTTCGGGGCAATACGGACTTTCAGCTCCCTCCAAAGATTTTCTATTGGGTTCAGGTCTGGAGACTGGCTAGGCCACTCCAGGACCTTGAGATGCTTCTTACGGAGCCACTCCTTAGTTGCCCTGGCTGTGTGTTTCGGGTCGTTGTCATGCTGGAAGACCCAGCCACGACCCATCTTCAATGCTCTTACTGAGGGAAGGAGGTTGTTGGCCAAGATCTCGCGATACATGGCCCCATCCATCCTCCCCTCAATACGGTGCAGTCGTCCTGTCCCCTTTGCAGAAAAGCATCCCCAAAGAATGATGTTTCCACCTCCATGCATCACGGTTGGGATGGTGTTCTTGGGGTTGTACTCATCCTTCTTCTTCCTCCAAACACGGCGAGTGGAGTTTAGACCAAAAAGCTCTATTTTTGTCTCATCAGACCACATGACCTTCTCCCATTCCTCCTCTGGATCATCCAGATGGTCATTGGCAAACTTCAGACGGGCCTGGACATGCGCTGGCTTGAGCAGGGGGACCTTGCGTGCGCTGCAGGATATTAATCCATGACGGCGTAGTGTCTTACTAATGGTTTTCTTTGAGACTGTGGTCCCAGCTCTCTTCAGGTCATTGACCAGGTCCTGCCGTGTAGTTCTGGGCTGATCCCTCAACTTCCTCATGATCATTGATGCCCCACGAAGTGAGATCTTGCATGGAGCCCCAGACCGAGGGTGATTGACCGTCATCTTGAACTTCTTCCATTTTCTAATAATTGCGCCAACAGTTGTTGCCTTCTCACCAAGCTGCTTGCCTATTGTCCAGTAGCCCATCCCAGCCTTGTGCAGGTCTACAATTGTATCCCTGATGTCCTTACACAGCTCTCTGGTCTTGGCCATTGTGGAGAGGTTGGAGTCCGTTTGATTGAGTGTGTGGACAAGTGTATTTTATACAGGTAACGAGTTCAAACAGGTGCAGTTAATACAGGTAATGAGTGGAGAACAGGAGTGCTTCTTAAAGAAAAACTAACAGGTCTGTGAGAGCCGGAATTCTTACTGGTTGGTAGGTGATCAAATACTTATGTCATGCAATAAAATGCAAATTAATTACTTAAAAATCATACAATGTGATTTTCTGGATTTTTGTTTTAGATTCCGTCTCTCACAGTTGAAGTGTACCTATGATAAAAAAATTACAGACCTCTACATGCTTTGTAAGTAGGAAAACCTGCAAAATCGGCAGTGTATCAAATACTTGTTCTCCCCACTGTATATAGGCCACTCCATCTGGCCATGATTATTATTGCCTTCCTCCTCTCAGGTAAATAGGCCACTCCATCTGGCCTTGATTATTACTGCCTTCATCCATCCTCTCAGGTAGATAGGCCATTCCATCTGGCCTTGATTATTACTGTATGTGTCCATATCCTCTGTCACTCCTCCTGAGTCATGTTCATTTGAACAAGGCCCATCTGTGTGTGATGATTAATATCTGGCCCCTTCTGTCTCCTTCCAACTGTGATTGATTATTACTGTCTTCATCCTGTTTCAGCCTAGCCCCTCCATCATTGCTCTATTTTTAGGAGACTTTCTGATGTCTCCTGTGCTACCTGAACAGTGAACAGGGTCTGACCATTATTACCGCAAATAATATCTCTGAATAAGGTCAAGTTGAGCAGAACAGTCACTGGTGTCATCAAAAATTACAGACCTCTACATGCTTTGTAAGTAGGAAAACCTGCAAAATCGGCAGTGTATCAAATACTTGTTCTCCCCACTGTATATATATTTGCGAGAAAAAAACACATATGGGGGATTGGAAGTGATGCAGACAATTACATTGATGGAAGTTACAATCTATCTGCAATATTAAAGCTGATCTACCCCCTAGAACAAAATAAAGAAAAAAGGCAAAGGCTTTTAATTGGGATATAGCCTAGGCTACTACGCCAGTGAAGAGCTAAATAATCCACCTGTTATACTAGGCTAGTGTAGGCTACATAACATGCTAGCAAAATGTTCTGATAACACTGTTAGATGAGCACTCACCTCAACTTGGCTAACATTTTCCCAGCCTAATTGTCACCAAATATCTCAATGGAGATTCAGTGAAAACAAAAATCTGACATTGATTGATTTATCAAGACGAGTCCCGACGCTTGTCTCAAAGCAGTGCGATGGCGCGGTCCCAATCATAATGGTGCTGAAGTTATAGTTGACCACACACGGCTATTACTTTAAAGTATTTCAAATGGTTGAATGACTTTGGGAGTTTCAGTAAGCAACAATATGATAAATACCTTCAATGGCATTAGCCTACTTTTTTCCAATAGTTTCATCATTCAGTGATATTCATTCCCACAGTAATTATTGATTAACCCATCCAGATGTGGTTAAGAAAACGTGCATGCATAGTGGTGGGCTTTGTGAAGGATGGTGACAGCCTCGTAACGGGCGCTGCCTAGCAACCATCATTATGAAGCATCAAATCTCATGAACGCGCACTGCTTACACCGGACTTAACTACGACTAGTCTTATTTTTGGTTGGTGCAACAGGTGTAAATTCTGATCCCAACGTTGGACGTAGCTAAGCCCGAACTAGCATTTAAGACCAACTTTATGCCCAACTGGTGCAACTGGCCCCTGATGACAACAACAGGCTCTGTGGGGGCCGACTGATACCCAGAGGAAGACGACCAATGTCTGTTCAGTGTTCATTGTTTGCTGCTCCCAAATGCGATTTACACTATAGAGCCTTCAGTTATCAGTGTGTTTTGCAATTGCATTGCACCTTTATATTGCTTCATAGCCTGTTATTATTACATAACTAGTGTTAACTGGGGCTGGATGTCTTTGTTGGTGCACATGATGGGTCATTTCCCATTTTTTGAATGGCAGTGTTTAACACGGTTTTTGATAAATATGCAACAATTTGTGTATTAAAGGTGAATGTAACGCTAACCCGTTGATTCCAACACAGAGGTCTGACATAGTTGCTGTTGATTGGGTTGTAGTGGTGAACCTGAAACAAGAAGAAATGAGAAAACATTAGGAAGCTTATTGCAACAAAAGCGTCTCTCCCTGTAGAAACAGCAAAGTCTTGCAAATGTACAGCTTTCACAAAGAGGGTAGGACTAACTAACACTGAAGTTTCCCAGGCCGTCTATTCCCGCAGAGCACAGTGCCTAGAATCTGCAATCAATCTTTTTTTCTATAACCGCAGAGAAAGTAGTGCCACAGTTTAATCTGTCGAGTTACGTAACAGCAGTTAGCTCAGTCAAACACTTGTTCTGCTATGTAGTGCAGGACTAGGTGGCCTAGTGCTGGAAGAGAGAGGGAGGTGTAGTGGCGCAGTGGTCTAAGGCACTGCATCGCAGCGCTAGCTGTGCCACTAGAGATCCTGGTTCGAAAATGTAATGTAAATGTGTAGGCTAGATTTGTGTCTCTAACTTGGCTATGGGAGGCTCCATTGTCTCTGGGCCTGTTTAACATGCCAGACAGAGAGTTGAGGAACTGAAGCAACAGGCCCAGACTTCCTATTCAGAGGACTTCCTTTCTGTAGACTCCATGGGAAACCAGCCCAGTATGGAACAAACACTGGGTTCTAGGCTCCTCCCTTCTAGCCTGTCTGAATCCACAAGGGACATAAATCAGTAGCTCTCCTCTCCTCTGCAATGTTAACTCTCACTGTATTACAGGCCTGTGGTGCCAGGCCAGTCTTATTACTTTACAGAGGCTGTGGTGTGTAAGGAACGATAAAACACAGCCTTCCACTTTAACATTCTGGTTTAATAGGAGACTAGGCTATTCGTCTACTTTGACTTCTCCAATGGTCCCATATTGGAGGATTGGACACGGACATGCTTATCTGTTATCTCAGCTCAACTGAGCAGGTAGCTTAGTGGTTAAGCGCGTTGTGCTAGTAACCGAAAGGTTGCTGGTTCTAATCCCCGAGCCGACTAGGTGAAAAATCAGTCGATGTGCCCTTGAGCAAGGCACTTAACCCTCATTGCCCTGGATAAGAGTGTCTGCTAAATGACAAAAAAATAAAAACTTGCATGGAAACGTATAAATATGAGCCTTGGGTAGGGTCTAGTTTTCAGTGCCAATCTGACATATACATATTACTTTATGGGCAAGCTGCTGCATGTTTGGTATTTCTGACAGAGTGAGTGGCAGTGCAGGAGCATGTTTGGAGGTTTCTAGAAACACTGAGATAGGCTACTGAGAAAGGAGGGTTGGAACATAGTCAAGTATATAACCTCATCGGCCCTATAAGGACTGGGGAGGGAGAGGAGTCAAACAGAGAGACGTGTGTAGGAAGGGGGAAGATGACCATTAGCCAGAGACACAGGAAGCAGATGTGTGTGAACAAGATAGATATGAGACACTTCCTGTTACTAGAAAGCAATTTATTACAGCTGCCTGAGACTATAAAAATAAGGCTTTAATTATGTCTTTACAACCTGTTTGAGCAAGTCAAAGATACATGTTCAACCAAATTATGTAGCCTAGCCAAAAAAGTGTTGGTTAGCAATGCTGAAGGTCAGTTTTTGAGGTCGGGAGAGGTTTTAACAAATTTTTTAGGCAAGACTTGCAAAATACAGTTGGCCAATAACATCACTGCCAGGTCTGTTGGAGGATGGACCACATAACTGTAAGTTACTACCCTTGGCTATCACAAAGTGATGCAACAATCAGGAAATTCCTGCTTTTTCATTTTGCAGCCATGAAAACGTTTGTTGGAAATTGATGTGGCAAACTCTTGTGAATATCAATGTAGAAACACTGTTGTTATAAACAAGTCATAGCCCTAGGCTATAGATCTATCTCTGCATCATATTTACCATAATCTGTATTGCTTTATAGGTGACATTTAAACCAATAAAGCAAATGACAGACCCATTATTAATCAATTTCAACTGAAAAACAAACAGATTTTTTTTTCAACAAAGGAGACAATTGATTTGTCCTAGTCTGCCATGATGACAGATAGTGATTTTGGCTGCACATGGAGGTCCAATGAGGTCCAATCTAACAGGACTAAAATAACATTTAGGTCTATAAAAAATCCATCACCATGCCCAGTTCAAAGGAAAGGTAAATGTAGTTTGTTTCTTCTCTCAAGTTAGGATAAATGATACCTAAATAAAACTATAATCTGAAATTACATGGTTATTAACACATCAGCAACTGACTGTAAGAGCAGATGTTATGCCTAAAATTAGTCCTTGAAAAAGCCTGAGTGCCTTTTTGTAACCTTATCAACAAGTGAAGGGGTCACCATAACCTCTACACCAGATATACTGATATAAAAACCCTGGAGATATAGGCTATATTGGGTCATGTCTAGAAGGGATCCAGCTTTTGTCAAATTAACATACAAAGTAGATAGTTTTTTGCATTTTTGCTAACTCTAACCCTTTTTCTAACCTTAACCTAATTCTCCTAACCTGCTATGTTAATTATCCTAACATGCTACAAAAAGTCAAAAGCCGGAACCCTTCTAGCCATGACCCTATATGAAGGGAGTGCCAGTTATCATCCATTACCTTTTCCACTCCGAGCTGAGGGTCATCGAAATGGATGCACAGAAACAATCCATACACGGAACAGAACTAGTACTGAACTCTCTGGGCATTAGGCTAGACTAGTGGGGACAAAGCCCTTGGGGCTAAAACACCTCAGACCAATCGAAGCGACACTTTGGGCAATCAACTCGAAATAGCTATAAATAGGCCTAGGTTTTTCCAACGGATTGTCTTGGTTGTCTAATGTCTAGCACCCGTTTCAAACTGTCACGCCCTGACTCTGAGGACTTGTATTTGTTGAGTCAGGGTGTGTATCTTCTGTGTTGGGTTTGCTAGTTTGTTTTCTATGTTTTAGATCTAGAATGTGTAGATCTATATTGGCCGTGGTGGTTCCCAATCAGAGGCAGCTGTAGCTCGTTGTCTCTGATTGGGGACCATACTTAGGCAGCCGTTTGGCACCTGTTAGTTGTGGGATCTTGTTCCGTGTAAGGTATGTTTGTGTGTTACCTTGGACTTCACGTTTCGTTTGTTGTTTTGTCGCGTGTTCATTCGTTAAATAAACATGTATGCTTATCACGCTGCGCCTTGGTCCTTGTCGTTCGTAAATGATCGTGACACAAACTGTCTGGGTGTAGGCTATAACGTGAGGGTTATACAAAAGCAACATACAACATATCCTTAATATATTATTTATTTACTTGGTTAACTAAGTGTAGTAAGCTATGCAAAACTACATACAGTGGATTGCGAAAGTATTCACCCCTCTTGGCATTTTTCCTATTTTGTTGCCTTACAACCTGGAATTAAAATTGATTTTTTTGGGGGGGGTTGTATCATTTGATTTACACAACATGCCTACCACTTTGAAGATGCAAAATATTTTTTATTGTGAAACAAACAAGAAATAAGCCAAAAACAGCAAACTTGAGCGTGCATAACTATTCACCCCCCCAAGTCAATACTTTGTAGAGCCACCTTTTGCAGCAATTACAGCTGCAAGTCTCTTGAGGTATGTCTCTATAAGCTTGGCACATCTAGCCACTGGGATTTTTAACCATTCTTCAAAGCAAAACTGCTCCAGGTCCTTCAAGTTGGATGGGTTCCGCTGGTGTACAGCAATCTTTAAGTCATACCACCATGACTAGGCCATTCCAAGACATTTAAATATTTCCCCTTAAACCACTCAAGTGTTGCTTTAGCAGTATGCTTAGGGTCATTGTCCTGCTGGAAGGTGAACCTCTGTCCCAGTCTCAAATCTCTGGAAGACTGAAACAGGTTTCCCTCAAGAATTTCCCTGTATTTAGCGCCATCCATCATTCCTTCAAATCTGACCAGTTTCCCAGTCCCTGCCGATGAAAAACATCCCCACAACATGATGCTGCCACCACCATGCTTCACTGTGGGGATGGTGTTCTCGGGGTGATGAGAGGTGTTGGGTTTGCGTTTTCCTTGATGGCCAAAAAGCTCAATTTTAGTCTCATCTGACCAGAATACCTTCTTCCATATGTTTGGGGAGTCTCCCACATGCCTTTTGGCGAACACCAAACGTGTTTGCTTATTTTTTTCTTTAAGCAATGGCTTTTTTCTGGCCACGCTTCTGTAAAGCTCAGCTCTGTGGAGTGTACGGCTTAAAGTGATCCTATGGACAGATACTCTAATCTCCGCTGTGGAGCTTTGCAGCTCCTTCAGGGTTATCTTTGGTCTCTTTGTTGCCTCTCTGATTAATTCCCTCCTTGCCTGGTCCGTGAGTTTTGGTGGGCGGCCCTCTCTTGGCAGGTTTGTTGTGGTGCCATATTCTCTACATTTTTTAAAATAATGGATTGAATGGTGCTCCGTGGGATGTTCAAAGTTTCTGATATTTTTTTATAACCCAACCCTGATCTGTACTTCTCCACAACTTTTTTCCCTGACCTGTTTGGAGAGCTCCTTGGTCTTCATGGTGCCGCTTGCTTGGTGGTGCCCCTTGCTTAGTGGTGTTGCAGACTCTGGGGCCTTTCAGAACAGGGGTATATATACTGAGATCATGTGACTCTTAAATAAAGTCCACCTGTGTGCAATCTAACTAATTATGTGACTTCTGAAGGTAATTGGTTGCACCAGATCTTATTTAGGGGCTTCATAGCAAAGGGGGTGAATACATATGCAGGCACCACTTTTCCGTTATTTACTTTTTTGAAACAAGTTGTTTTTTTTCATTTCACTTCACCAATTTGGACACTTTTGTGTATGTCCATTACATGAAGTCCAAATAAAAATCCATTTAAATTACAGGTTGTAATGCAAAAAAAATAGGAAAAAAATGCCAAGGGGGATGAATACTTTTGCAAGCTACATATTTAATTGTACTAGTATCATAAGGTCAAGTCAAGTACCTTACTGAATATGCTTAGGATCTGTAGTATCCTCCTATGAGCAATAAGTCTTAGGACTCCTCACAACTCCCCTCTCCACAGCTTGCAG